AATCAGTCGTTAATTCAAATATATCCCACATGATCTCTAAACAGGTCATGTGCACAATAACTCATATAACATATAAAATCCTATACAAACTATGCCGAGTTTGTAATACTGAGTTGCTGTTAGATACCCCTATACCATAGTGATCTACCAGCCAATAATGAGTGCCTGCCAGGCAACATACCTATTAATCATATATTATAATAGAAGAAAAACTACATCACAACTTATGTCATGATTATTCTAACTATTAAAATTGTTATTCCCTTCATATATTATTGCTCTTTGAATCTTCTCATGAAATAATTAAGACTTTTGATCAATTACTACCTCAGGAGGTGCTTTCCAAGTCTTCTGAAACTCCTTCTTAGCTTCCACTACTTCCATCTCATGTGCAACAATGACCTGCCAACTAGAAATCTCCTTCTTTTCATAATCTCAAATAAGTTTAATTTGATTGAAATCTGCAGACTTTGATGGCTAATCTAAGATTATGATCACAAGTCACTACTGCTCTTAGCAGTTGATTTGCTCTGTAGTTTGATGACAAGGTGTATTGTCTTCAACCAGTTAGTGATACTGAACTTCCTTTCTCTCATATAAGCAGTTCATCCATTAATAAAGCTTTGACTATAAAACTCACTCGCAATAAGGATTCCAATTGTTTCTATCTTTACTTGTAAATTCCACCTCTTTTTCTTTAAAAATTTGCTCAGCTCTTCTTTTTCATTTATTCCTTCTTCCTGTTCATCCTTCCTTCAGATAATGATTTTTGATATTATCAATAACATAGGTAAGTACCTCATGTTACCAAGTCCCAATAATCTGCACTCACTACTGGTTGAATAGTTGTTGCCCCTGCCATACATCACTTTCTTGAGTTACAATTTCCTGAAATGATCTCTTGTTCTCAGCTGTATTGGATTCTCAATTATGATAAGAACCTCTACAATCTTGTAAGATTGTATCTCAGAAAATAAGATAAATTGGCTGCCTCTCCTTGTCTTTATTATGAAGTGTATTTGTATTCCGATCTGCTCTATGGCATCTTGACACATTACACTTCTGCCAAGGTTTACCAAATTCCACCCACTTCTTATCAGTAAATACACTTGTATTAATGTCAATTTGAAGTACCACTTAGGCAAAGGCACAACATGCTTCTATTAGTACACTTGATAAACTAGATTTATATGTGGGTTTTTGTTGAAAGATTTGATGCTGACGATGGAAAACTTGCTCTAGGATTGAACTTGTAGCACAAATACCAAGCTCTTATGCAATTTTGAGAAAGGTTTTTTGCTAGTGTTCCTCATCTTGCTGGCTAAGGTCACATAAAGTAATCAACAGTTTGTAACTTTCCAGATATCTTTCTGGATTTCCTCCACCAAATTGCTTGTCATCCAAGTAGGCAAGAATATCATCTAAGTATTCTGAACCTGAAGCCCAAGTCTTGAATAATATTTGGTAACTTTCCATTCATCCTTTGAGATATTTTACTACTAATACCAACTTTAATATTAGCATAACGGAGTTGAAGCTGGATTCTAGGTATGGGAATTGCCACCTCAGGTATTTAATCTCAAGTCAGTTATGCTAATATCCCAGTCTCACCTTAGCTACTTTAATGATAACCTTCATAGTTGATTTCTTTATATTCAATCATTTAGCAATCTTGCAGTATGACATCTTGGTATGTTGGTAGAGGGTTGAAACGGCAGCTCATTTGAGTAAAGGAACTCCAGGTGTAGCTCCATGTCCATTTTGAGAGGTCGGCATTCTCTTCTTAAAAAAAGCAAAGCAAAAATTAATAGATATACTGTAGGTGATGGTAGGTAAAAGAGTTTTGAAGAATGATACTATGTATGTGATCAGGAGTTGATTCCTTCACTATATCAAATTATATCACTCTGCTTGGCACTGTCAAGTTGGTCATTTATTGGTTTGTGGATTACTACTCTATAGGAGTGTTCAACAGCAACTTGGCCACACAAGTATGATATGATAAAAATCATGCATTTTTGATTAGATAAGTGGCAGTTGCTTGTTCACTGTATGTAGATCATAATTTATACTAGCTAACTGTCGCGAGTTCGACAAACTTATGTTTAGGCATAGCCCAGGCTAGTTAGAATGAAAATTAGTTTTCAGTACCAGTACCCTATAGTACTGTTACTAGTATTGTCCAGTTGTGTCTGAAAGGTCCATGTACTCCTGCTTGGCAACATCACAACCAACGATCGCCTTAACATCACCCGCTACCATAGCACCACCATACTTTCAAAACCTCAGAGAAGACCAGAAAAGGGAAATATATGCCCTCTATAAACATACTGATATGAGGTATGGTAAAATTTCAAAGCTTATGAATCTCTCCATGTCAACTGTTTTAACAGTAGTCAAAAATGCGAAATTCAGAGATGGAATCACACATGATACTCCCAGATCTGGCAGACCAACCAAGATTACTGATGCCAAAAGGCAAGTAATTCTTGATATTATTGATGCTGAGCCTTATTTAGCCCTAAGAGATATTACTCAAAAAGTCAATATTGAACTTGGCAAAGATACTGTTAGTATGATATTCAAAGAAGCTGGATTTAAGCTCAGGATACCTAGGAAAAAGCCTTTTTGGAGAAAAGGACAGAAGGAGAAGAGAAAGCAGTTTGCTAGAATGAGGAGGAACTGGACAAGAGCTGGGAAATGAGTGGTTTTTGTGGATAAAACTACAATTGAATATGATCCAAATCCATTGGGAAGAAAGGTCAGACTTAGACCAGATAAAGAGATGGAAGAAAAGAACTTAAAGACTATCTTTAAGTCAGGGCACACCAACATAGGTGTATATGCTACAATGATGTATGGAGGAAGGACTGAGCTCATTCTTGTGAGGAAGAGGACTGAGGAGGAAAGAACCAGCAAAAGAGACAGACTTGGTCTCAATTCCCACCAATATATAACTGAGATTCACCAACCCTACCTCATCCCCTTCATAGAAGCCATAGACAGAGCTCCTCAAACCATCTATATGGCTGCTGATAATGCATCATGGCATAATGGAGCAGAAAACCAAAAATTGTAAGAGAACTATGGATATCAAAGATTGGCTTGGCCACCCAACTTACCAGATCTCAATCCTATTGAGAATGTCTCAGCAATTCTCAAATGAGCATTCAGAAAGCAATTCTCCAAGGTTGAGAAAAGGCCCTACAGTGCTGCTGAATTATTTCAGGCAGCAAAGGAAGAGTGAGACCTCATTCCCCAGGGGACATTTGATGGATGAATTCAGAGGATGCCTGAGAGACTTCAGGGTGTATTAGATGCAGATGGAAGCCATACAAATGGTAGCATTGGGAAAATGTTTTTTTCTATTTCTACTATTATCTATTTTAAAATTGTACTCATATGTTTTTTTTGTTGTGGTTAATATCATTATTTGTAGTAGTAGTGCCGTTGCCGTGAGGGGAACGTAGACTTTTCAGATACGACTGTACTGTACAAGCAAGTAGATTTGTGATATTTCAAGTGCTCGAGTTGTTAAACAACACGGGAAATTAGCAAATTTGCGAGCAACCTCTTGGATCCGTTGGCATCTCGACTTGTTATTTGCGGGATAGAAAGAATGACCATAGTATCGATAGTCAAAACAGACTATCATACACGGAAATTTCTTTGGTTGGGAGGAGGAGGGAGGGAGGGAAGAGAAATAGGGCGGGGGAAAAGTGGATGATTACCGTGGATGAATGCGCAACCCAGTAACCTATGATTTGGTTGCGAATTAATTTAATTCGAGTTTACGGTTAAAAACATCCGATGGCATAGATTTCATCCGCAAGGCTTTGAGTCCCCCCAATTGGAGGTAAACAACGGTGAGCCTATTCTCGCCATCCCTTTTCTCTCCCTGGGAGTAAGAGGAGTCCTGCGATAATGGGGTACTGGAGACTTAGACAGTAAAAGTGACCTTCCTTCCTTCACTGAGAGCTTTCCTTGTTATACGGAGTCTGCAACATCTGCGATCCAATTCGCGTGTTGTGATTCTCAACCCGTTTTGGTGGTCCGGAACGGGCGCCTTGACTCTCCTCATTTTCTTCCTTTCTTCCTTTCCTTTTTCTCTCTCCCCCTCATCCTATTTCATTATTTCCCTGCCGTAACCCTGAAAGGGCTGACCCGCTTTCGAACTGCATTTTCATATTTGCCTTGTTCCCACCCATCCATGGTCATACGCTACGGTACCTATCTTGCTTGATCTGGGGCACGTTCTGTTCGTTATCATCACGTCTATCCTCCATCATCCATCATCCACTCACCGTTCATCTCATTCTCCTTCCCACCGCCCGTTCATCACGATCGCTCAATCGGTCAGCCTGCGATACGGATCATTGTCTTGGGACGTTGGTCTCTGGTTTACCGCCTCTTAGTTCATTTCGGCGCACTGGTAGGGAAAAGGAGGGTTGTGTGAGGCAAACAAGAAGGAAACAGGGAGGAAGAGGAAGAGGAGTGACAACTTTGGGAATTGGACTGCGTGACGGGAAGCTTCTGTTGGAAACGCTGGATGCAGGGGAAGGATCCAGGAGGAGAGTTAAGACCACCCGGACAGAACCAAGCAGTCTAGTTTACCGGGAGTGCTAGCTTCCCGGCGGGCAGGATTCAGCAATTCTTGTTGGAGCTGAGGGAGGGAATTACAATACAGCCTTGCTTTACGGTGAAATCGAGGTTACCGACGCTACTATCTGCCTGCTCTATTGCCTTTTAACAGGAATTTATTATCTTTCAATCTGGTTATTTCATTTTATTGATCGATTAGGACACGTAGAGGGGGGGTTAATTGTGAGGAGGAAGTGGTTCAAGATTTTTATCGCCCTTATTTTGTATTTTTTAATATTCCATACGCATTAACGCCCCCTCCCCCCGCCCCTCTGTCCCTTCGATCATTAGGTCTTCCACCTTGAATTTACAAGAATCGATGGTGGTGAGGTCAGCGACTGGCGGTAGCAGCAGCGATAATGTCCCAGCGCAGAACCGAAGATCGTCCCTCTTCCTCCCATCATCAGAACAACAGTAACGGCGGCGTCAACGACACTGGCACTTTTTCCGCTCCTATTAATGGTACAGGTAATCGGCAAGGAAGAGATAGCGCGAGGAGAGACAGGCATATCACCGTCAAACAAAACCAGCAAAACCTTAACATTACCGGTACTGGTCGAACCCGTACTGGTAGTCTTCATCACCCGCTCCCTCAGCGCGACGTTCGGAAGCCTGCTTCTTCTACCCCTTCGGCGCCGTCGTCGCAAAAACACCCTAAGACAACAACACTCCCGCCATCTCCCGCTGTGACCCGTACCCATCGCCGTCACACTTCGGTCATTGTTAACCCCCCCCCTCCCCCCGCTTCCTTTATCCCCTCGCAACCAAAACTTGCATCTCCGGTTTTACTCGTCTCACGTCCTGCGACCTCCCACTCTTCACCCCCGTCAGCCACATCGTCCGGGAAAAGGGCGCCTGCGCGCTTTAGTAGTAATGGTATAGCAACAACATCCGGACCACCACCTTCACTCGCTTATCGACGGAATATCGCAATGGATAATCACTTTTCACCACACAATGTGGGATTGGGAGTTGGTGGAGGAAATGTACATAGGGGAGGGGTTGCTCTTCCGGTTAATGGTACAACTGGTGATCGGAGTAGCACTAGTAGCAGCACCATTTCACATTTGTCAAGGAGAGGAAGTTTGAAGGGGCGGGTACAGGGCGAGCAATCGACCTCGAGGACGGGTTCGCTAGAGCCGGACCAGACCGGTAGTAATGGGGATGATGACGAAGATGATACCGGGCGGGATAGTGGACAAACAATACGGGGTTTGGAAGATTTACAGAGTGGGGCTTCCGAATTCGCGGGTGATGGGGGCCTGGATGGAGAGCCTGGCACGGAAGATTTATTCCTCAATCTCGCGAGATTGAATTCTGCCGCGGGTCAAAACGAAAATAGTAATGGGCCGAGGCCTCGGGTGCGTTTCCTTTTACCCTTTCATTCACCATGATTCGATAAAAATCCTTGAGCTATTTGGTTTGGGTTTTTTTGAAGCCTTCTAGGGCCTGGGCACTTGGGGAGATAATGTTTGTTGACAATTTCACAGGCGCGGTTGGCTCATCATGCGCATCATCGGTCTTCACTTCCTGCCGATACCTTCTCATCCTCACCATTACGCGCATCGCAAACGCGTTCGCCGGGCAATCGTGGTTCTCCGGTCGGTCCTCGTGATGAAATTTGGCATGACCCTAGAGCCCCAACTCCCGCGACACGCTATCGCGACCGTAGGATGTCAGGGACTACGGATAATTTGGTTGACCAGAGGATTGTCACCCCACGGGCATCGTTTGTTCGACCACTTAGCAACGTGCTCAGGCGCGATCAGTCCCCCGCGTCTTCCACTCACACTAGGAGCTTTTCAATGGCTGAACCCGGCATGAGATCACGCAACGGGTTTACCAATGGCATTGCTCCACAATCGCTGCACTCCTCACCCAATGCAACCGACCAATCCCCCGGATCTGTAATTGACCATGACCAAACAGATTCCTCCGGTGCGGCCAGCAGAATGGAACACAGTGGGGGCGCCAGTAGCGGGATTGGGGGACAAGAGGATTCCTCATCGGTATCGACCACCGCGCCATCGACTGTATGGGATGAACTAGATGATTTAAAATCAAGAATACGAAGACTGGAATTGACTGGGCGAATTCCTGCATCGGGGGTTGGAGCGGCGGGCAACACATACAGTTCATCGGGGGAACGACCGAGGACAGCCACAACCACCGTTACCACAATTTCATCATCACCTCGGCATCAAAACAACCCTTCCGGTATTGGAATCTCCCCCCCCAACTCAACAATTAGTCACCCCTCACCCAACTCGCACCCGCTATTGCGTGCTGCTCTGACCAAGTCGAAGCCACTGATACCCCCAGACGTTTTCAGATACTTGGAAGCTGCTGCCGCCGATGCTGTTGCATTGGCAAATGTGGTCGGCTGCACCGCCCCCGTGGGTAGTGGACCTCCAGGGGCTGTTGTCGATAGACAGATGCGGCGCAAGGCCGATAGTGTTTGTCGAAGTCTGACCGAGTTGTGCATTGCCCTCACCGAGAACCGGTCTTCCCTAGGCGTGACAAACTACTCACATCATGTTGCTCAACATGTCCATGGCGCTCGGCCAATTAGCAGGGACACGGCCCTTGGTCGAGAATGTATCCTAGGCCGGGAGAGTGCACTTGGAAGGGAGAGCATACTGGGGCGTGAGAGCGTCCTCGGCCGTGAGAGCGTACTAGGGGGGCGGGAGAGCATCCTGGGTCGGGACAGTTCAGTGGGCAGTCACCGTGGGCTCGGGAGACTCTCCGAACGAAAAGGAAGCATCGCTTCAATATCTACGGCAGCCGGTTACAACTCGAGCCCAAGGCTTTCCCTATTTGTAGACCAAGAGACCCCCTCAACCCCGGGCCTTCTACGCCCCCGAAACTCCTTGCTTCTCAAAACCCGCCAAATGCTAGACGACGACGAAGGTCATGAAGGCTTCCGCTCCCCTTCACGCGCAGCAACAGACATTATGGGCCACCGGCACCGCAACTACCCAATCAGCCGTCACATGAGCCTAACCCCTGAGCGATCACCCGGGCCTGAGATGTCCCACCGGAGGCCACATTACGTCACCAACGGTGCCGCCCTCCCATCCCCAATCCTCCATGGCAACCGACGCTACTTCAGCGCCACCGTCGACCGCTCCGACGTCGCTGATCGCCCCAATGGCTCTTTCGAAGCCACCAATTCTACAAACGAACGCTTGGTAGCCACCGCAGCCGCCGACTCGGACTATGGCGCTGCGAGATATCGCAGCGGCAGTCTGGGACGTGCTGGGAATCGTAGGCTGACCCGGGGGCTGAGAGAGAGTGTGGACTTGGATAGCGTGCAGCAAGGCGGTTCACTCGGACGCACGCCATTGCCTGGCGAGCGTTTACTGCGGAGATGATCCACCTATTTCCTGTGCGATTGGGTTAACTTTGTGATTAGTTCTTTATGGAGTTGGCCGGGTAGGTAAAATAAATAAACTGCTGGGGGGATCGGTTGATTGGTTTGTTGGTGGGTACTTTGGCTTTGGTTCTGGGGGGTTTTTCTTTTCTATTCCCTTTTCCTTTTTCTTCTCTCATTGTGGCGGTGTTTTTTTGTTTTTATCTTGCTCGTGTGTCGTGCGGGCTGGTGGGTGGCGTATCGATTTGCTTTCTATTCGCACGAAAATCTTTCATCATCCCCCTCTTCTGCCCGCTATTAATTATGGATAACGGTTGGAATTTGCTCCTTCCTTCCCTCCCGCTTCTTTTTATATCCATCTTTTCACTCTTTTCACGCTAAGCTATTTTTCAAAAAGATTTCCATATGACTTTTAACTGCATTATATTACATATCTTCCTTCCCTCTCCCACCGTCCTTCAGTTGGTATCAACAGAGTATGGCTGGTTTTTTTAGTATTTGCTGTCCAGCTAGACTTTGCTAGACCATTTGCTTTCGTTTTTGTAATTCCGATTATAGCATAGTGTTATGAGGAATGGTTTGTATGCTTGCATGGTATGGTATGCGATGTGGATTGGTAGATTGGGGGGAAAGGAGGGGAGGGTGTTTGTAAGATAATCAGTCTGGGGAATGGATATTCATGGTGTTTAGTCTAGGACTTGAAGTGATGTCGTATGGTGCTGCGTGGTAAGCTGGGTGAAGGATGCTGCTTGTGGGGAGTTCTGGATTAGGTGGGGGGTGGGCCTTTCTAGTTGCGTATTGGCTAATATCGTAACGAATGGATACACTACAGGTGGGCCAGCTGGTCACATGGTACGGTATTTCTTTCATTCATCGCAAATAGAGGGCCGCCGACATTGTACGGTGCGTTTCAATATGGGAGTGGAGGTATCATAGGTATGCTGAAACATGCCTGCCGAAGGTGGAGAACCGCTCGCCAGCACTATCTACTCATGTCGCCGGAATTAGTCATAAGTCACGTGAATTTGGATAAGATTGATTGCCTTGTTTTTCCTCGCCCATAATGTCAGCAATCACGAAGTCCAAAGCCATACAGAAGACCCTTCCTGCTCAAGTCTTTCATATTTCTCATCTTCCTTCTGATACCTGCATGTAACAGCAGTGTATTTGTATGATGGATATTTTCATGGCAGTTCATTAAGCAACTATAGCCTTGTATTAATTTACGGGCAAAAAGGTGGACAAATATTAGCCGAATTCTGAAACTAAATCCAGATATAGTATTGCGTGTTTGCCATGAAGGCATTGAAAGGGTTGATACACTACTTTAAAATTGGCAAACAACCAGGAAATATTTTGTCCTCCCGCAATGAAGTCTACATTGTTTTTAGTAATTGAAATCCTAGTGACCTGATACTGATGAGATGATACAAAGACCTAGACATCGTATGAGATTGGTAGTAGATTCAGAACTGGCAGAAGAGTTACAACATAGGATTTTACAAGATGAAGTGTATTAAGACATGTCTTGGATTCAGGTTAGTTAAGAGATTGGACTAGATATCACCTGGTTAACTTTGTAAAACTTAATCTATAAAGTTCTTGAGAGTTATTACTATCATAATAACCTTCAAGTATGACAGTTTATACAGAAGGCCCGAGTTACACCTATTTCAGCATCAAGAGACTACTATAATAGGAATAGTGGTAGACTAGAGTCTACTAAATAAATATATGATTGGTTAATTAGCATAATGGAATATGTTGTATCTTACCAAAGGTGCTTAGATATAATTAAGGGAGTACACTTACCCTACTAAGTAGGGTAACCCAAGGAGCCAATTTGGAAGTTATCATACTCTGATTTACCTAGTGATGTTTTAGTAAAGAGTTATCCTATTCTGTAAGATAACTTAGTATATGGTTACACAACCTTTGAACTATAACTACACAGTCTTAAGCTATAGGCTATCCTATTATAGAGATAAGTTGCCTTCATTAAAAGTAACTGGTTATGAAGGACTTTTAAAAAAGTTACCAGATTGTTTGTTACATAAAACTATCAAGGCATCCTGAATCTCAGGTTGAGCAATTCAATTTTCCAAGATCAGCTAAACTCCTAGAAAGCTGTAATTTGTAGGCAAGATAGCTAATACCTTCCTCGAGCTTTCTTATAAGTTCCTAGCATTATGGGCTACAGCTTAGAGAGTTGTTATAGATTTAGTTAAAATCAAGAAATGAAAAAGCTCATCTAATACTAGAGACTCTGTGACTGTCCAGTTGATTGGAAGCTGTAAGTAGTATAATATGAGAGGCACTAGTGGTACCTGAGGGTATGGCCTTCTGGTTGTATCATATATATCAGACCTAGACTACAAATAGACATCTCATTAGGTAGAAGCTAACTCTAGTTTGTATCTAGAAGCCTTAGGCCAGAATATTAGTCTAGACTGAGATTGTCTAAAAAGGCTTATTATTGTTCTTTTTATTTACAACTACTAAGAACTTACTTAATGAGGATAGTAAAGATAGTATGATAAAGATTTGTTGGTAGAATAATTTATTATTGTTAAGATATTTTCTCTGTTACTTAGTATTCCCGTATCAGCTCAGAGATACTCCTAATGTCAAAGTATTTTAGTATAGAAACTACTCAAACACTTTTAACCTCAGTGGGAGTTGAATACCTAACCTTGCAAACTAAAGCTAAGATTGTACCAATTAAAGTTGTATATGGTATTATAATAGGTATCATTGAAGTAACAATATAGTCATGACATGCAACTCTTTAAATCTCACTTAGGATGTATTACCCTAATATAGGAACCTTAGAAAAGTATTAGTAAAACTGATAAATGAGAATCTGTATACAGTTATCCTACCAAGGAGTCTGTGTACTCCCTTATGCCTAATATGAGCTTACTTCTATAAGGCTTCCTCTCAAATACCTTTTCATTTCAGGTACAAAACAAAATAGAGAATTAAAATTAATAGTAATAATATATCCTTCTAGGACTTGATATGGTTAGAGGAAAAAAACTTTTACATTTGGTTGGCCTCAGAAGGAAAAATTTTTCTCATCATCCATTTTCTCCTCTTTCTAGTATATTTGGATTGTTTTTATAAAACTGCTCTACTACTTCTGCACTTTCAATTCCTGTAGCAGTCTCTGTAGTATTTTCATTCTCTGCATATCATTGCTACTTAACAAAATACAAGAACTCATGTATTTGCTAATAGCAGTTATTGATCTTTTATCAGTATCTGTTTATCTTGCTCTATGCAATATCCTTAATTTCACATCGCAAGTCCCTTTCAATATTTTCCAACTTACAGGAAAGTTCTTCTCCACTTGAATAGACTAGCTTAAGTTGTAGTTTCAAAAGAAATATGGAAAAGAAAAGAGGAATGTTCCCTGGATCAGAGATGTTTAACTTGAACACAGAGTTGCCTCTATTTTCCATAATTTTGAAGTACTATATAATTTCAGCAACAGTTTTTACAACTTGCTTTTTGTACCTATATTCCAAGAGTTTAATATGACTTTATCACTATCCTTAAAATCAAATTACTGTTTTGCCTTCTGATTATGGTATTTTGCTATTCCCTCCAATATCTCTTCTAGTAAGCCTTTGACTTACTCACTATTGTCTTAATATAGTTTGTATATAGAGTAGTACCTAGATTACAAGCTTTACACTACTTCATGCAAAAGGTCTGTAGATAGAAACCATAGTTTACTTTGAATGGTAACATCCTGTGAGAATTAGTTACAGAGTTATTGCAAGTACACTCTGTTAACAGCAATATCTTATACTAATCATCCTGATTGTTGTTGACAAAACGTTGTAGGAAACCTTTAAGTACATAGTTGCTTCTTTCTGTCTGTTCTTCTGTTTGTAGATAATATGCCATTGACTTTTATTATTTAATCTCTAATGCCTCTAGTACCTTCTATAGGGATTCTGAAAACTCTACTCTAAAATATGCATTCATGTCTAAAATAATTTCTGTTGGTTAGCCATATAGCTTCAAAATTATTTATGAAAATATATTTATAATAGCCATAGTTGTTGCAGTCTCCTGTAGTGCCAGAAAGTAGGAGATTTGAGGGAACTGATCCATCCGCTCAAGCTAACCTTGGGCGCTTA